AGACACGGAATATTTATCATTCCCAACAATTTTTGGCGGTGAGAAATTGGAACCTACTTTTCAAGGTCGACCAATGTCTTATGCAAACGTCTGCAAATCTTTTGCTATGCGTTACGATCGACTAATGGCGCGACGTCCCGATTATTTGCTTTTTATGGGGAAAAAGGCCGAATTGCTCAGACTATCCAGTAATATGGCATTATGCCTTCGGAAGAAAAGAATTCGTAATCGCAGTGATATAAACGCGGCCAATCTCACCAATCACGATTTCATCCACGGGTTAGTGCAACACGATGAAGCGTATCAAGTTCTCGCTGGCGTTCGAAACTCTTGTACGCATTGGCATAATGAGAAACAGAAGGTACCGGCAATGGTTACACAGTTTGGGCTGCCAACATTCTTCCTAACTATTTCAGCGGCGGAGACGTAGTGGCCTGAACTGTTGCAGATTTTAAAAAAAGTTGTAGACAATGAATCTGTTACCTCAGACGAAGCACTTGCCCTGTCGTACGCTGAAAAATCGCGACTATTTTAATCAGATCCAATTACACGCGCCCGGTATTTCGATTATCGTTACAAGGAGCAGACAAAACTGTGGAGCCTAGCCGGGGGTCCATTTGGAGGAAGGAATGTTACACATTCGTACTATACAGTGGAATTTCAACAACGAGGGTCTCCCCATATACATCAGCTTCTCTGGCTGGAGGATGCGCCTGTTTTTGACCCACTGACAGGATCGAAAGAGCGCGAAGTGTGCGATTTTATAGATGGCATTATTGGATGTTCGTCTGTCATGAGCGATGCCGCGCAACAAGAATCACAGAACAGACGGCATTACATTCAATTCCAGTATCACAGGCATGGGCGTATATGTCGCAAACATGGATCAGAGAAGTGCAGATTCGGAATCCCATTTTATCCAATGCGCGAAACTCACATTTTACAGCCACTACCCGAGACAATCAATGTAAATGGGCGCTAACGTCTTGCCAGACAGCTGCAGCAAATAAATGCTGTTATGAACCAGAGCGAAAATT